ACAAAAAGATGAAAAGATGATTGGTAAGAAACTAACTGGTAATGGGGAGGCTTTATTTATGCATCAATGCTCATTATTATCAAGAGGGTAATCTTGCTTACATTACTGTAGCATGATTTCTTTACGTTATGAAATTCTTGATTTATTTTCTACAGATACTGAGAAAGAGTTAGCATCATTGAAGGAACTGTCAGAGACTAGACTAGAAGAAATAGAACAACTGAAACTGAAACTTGAAGACAATAACAGTATGTACTGTATAATACATTTAATACAACATTAATTTGATATTTATTTTATTATAAGGATTACAAGTACCAGTTGAAGAGACATCAGACTCAGAGACAATTAAAGATGAATCATCTGACGATGACACATCAAGTACATGAATGAATAAATGAATATTTATTATATTAATAATCATATAGGTAATGAAGACATTGTAATGAAACCTGATGATAAATCACTAACAGTAAATTGTGAGTCAATTACACTATTTGAATTTGCTATTGTATATGCATGGTAATTGTAATGATACAACATAACCCACTGCATCATCAGTGTGTGTGTGTTTGTGTGTGTGTGTGTTTGTGTGTGTGTGTGTTTGTGTTTCGACCTAACCCCCGGGCTATGTCTCAAGACCCAGCTACCATAACCGTAGCCTAGCGCTGGGCTTGCACCTCGATTGAAAGTACTGGCATCTTCAAAGCTCAACACATCCATTGACTTAAGAGTCGAAATTAACAGAGTATGGGGTTTCCCTTCCATTTAAAATGCTTACTGGGCAAGGGACAGACAGTCTGGCCTTGAGAACCAGAAATGGTGGGTTAAAGATCTTTTATGGGGCCCCAACTCTCCCCGCACTGTCTGAGCCTCACTCAGCTATTGGTTTAACTGATAAGGTGTTTGTGTAACTGAACTCTATGTTAACTACTCCTATGCACACAGTTATAGTTTATGTTACATATAAAGGACACTGTATGCTACATGTACTTTGTTTATACAGTTAATTTTTGATTATAAATTCTTTTAAAATACATGACGTACAGAGAATGCTGTCTCTCTTTGCTGCCATCACACATTTAGATATTGCCATGCTTTTTTAATTGGTACTTAAATATTCATGTATAATAATAGGTGGGTATTAAATCATTAATTAATTTTCGTGTGTGTGTGTGTGTATGAGTGTGTGTGTGTGTGAGTCACACAAGCCATCCATGTGTGTGTGGGTGTGGGTTTTGTCGGCAATAATTTATTATTTTAATGAAACACTATAATTTTACTTTATGTAAAGAAATTATTGCATTAACTGACTAGTTATGTGTTTATTATTAGTACAAAAGGATGGAAAGGTAGAGTGGATTCATAGTGGTGTACGACTCACTAGTCCATCAGTAGATCAATGTAAGGAGGTAATCAGTAAACTGGAGGAGAAACATAAGATCATTATACTCCACTACTCATCATCTGACAGTATACAGGTCCTAATACCAACTGTATTGGAGAGAGGAACAATAGATCAACTTGATATATACTCCTCATTATTATCATGTGATGATGTCCTCTCTTTCTCTTATCAACTATCAACCAACAAATCATTAACAAGACTAAACCTAATTCATAGTTCAGTGAGTGATGATGGAGTCATTGCACTAGCACAATCACTACAATATAATAGAACACTTAAACACTTATATCTTCGTTACAATCCTGACATCACTTCAGCTTGTGCTCAGTCACTGGCTGAACTTTTACTCACTAACAACACCATCACTGGACTTCGTCTCGACCATACTAACATTGATACTGATGGAGTAATGATACTAATGGAATCACTCAAGACCAATAATACACTAAGGAAACTTGGGCTAGACAAACAACATAAAGAACCTTGTTCTACTTTACCTTATTATGAGCATATTAAAGACAGATTGGATTTTTTTGGATTGTGAAATCTTATTTTTATATTAGATCCTATGATAGGCATACTGTATAATATCTATGCTATTGTAGTTTCTTTGAGTTTTATTTTTACTCATTTATCATGTATTAATTATTATTGAGCCACGCCCTTTTGACTGGAGGCTGACCACGCCCTGTGTCTCTAATGGCAACTTCCTCTTCTTCTCACCCCCTATCATCTGAAGATATATTTAACAAACATTACCCAGACCTCTCTACCTCTCTCTGTGATCCTGTCAGTGTAACCAGACTATTGTATGGAGAACTAGTAATAACAGGACAGATACTAAGCAATGTTGAATCAGCTAGTCCCTCCATCAGTAAACAACGTGAGGAACTGCTAAAGGGACTGAGAGAGGTCCTTGTTGGTAATGACAACAACCTACAAACATTTGCTAGTGTATTGTGCAAGTTCACTGCTAATGTTAAACTAGGAGAAGCTATACACAAAGATTATGGTGAGTGTATTCATGTACTGAAGTAATGGAGTATTGACTGGTGGTATCATTGAAGCTTTCTATGCATACAAAATGGCTCAGAATTGACTCAAATAATTCCATCAACATGCATGTACTGGTACATGTATAGTTAGTACTAACTAGTAGTAATAAGTAACTGAAGTATGTAATCAAAATACTAATGTATTACTGTACATTGTACCTACATGTATTGTTATGAGTTTAT